CAGGTGTGCTCCTCCACTTTGACTTTTTCCAATGGGCGCTACTGTGCGGAATGGTGGTAGGCGCCGTCTTGCTCAGTCTAGCAGCGGGCACAAACGGCGATCAAGGCAACTTTACCCTACTCCTGCTCGCCATTCCCCTCATCGCAGGCGTGATCGGTGTTGCTCTGTTGCTCAGCGTGCTCCTCTACGCTTTCTCCATCAAGACTCCCAGCTGGGCACACGTTTCTTGCGTCACACCTCGCCAACGCATTCGCCCTGCCATCTACTACGTCATGGAAGATCTAGTAGCTGTGGATGGCGCTGGCGCTTGGAAGTTTAGGTACAATGCAGACAGGAGGTACTGCACCAGTCCAATCTTTCAAACTTTGTGCAGGGATGTGTCTTTGATCTTTTCAGTCTGGGGCATTCTCTTTCCTGTGAGTTTCGCAACGAATCGTATTAGACGAGCGTCCACCAATGAATACTGTCAAGAATACTGACACTTGACGCGCAACACAGGTCTGGGCAGGTCTGCTAGCTCACTTTGTCACAAACAAAGATGTTTGCTGGGGAGCTTCCATCGCTTTGGGCATTGGCTGGTCTGGCCTCTTTGCCGCTTTCGCAGGCTTGCACACCTCCCGCATGTTGACGCGCGAGCGGCATTGGTTCGCACTTAACAGCCCTTCGGTCTCTGCTGTGGAGCCGCCTGCCGAAAAGGCTGCAGAAGGGCAGTGAGACATGGCCCGCTCCCAACAAAAGCTCCAAAGCCATAATTCATTTCACCGTCGTTACATCCACCACACATCTCTCACCTCACCACTGTCGCTCCTTCGTTTTTCAGGACTCCATCAATGGGAATGGGTGACTCGCCAATCGCGCGACTACGCCTCCTTGACTTACACTTGTATTCGTAAATTTGGTGTTACAGGAAATATAGTCGCGGGCGTCTGCAACCAGTAGTTCATCAACGTCCGTCGAGAGCTGAGAAAGCATCTATTTTTGGTTTGCGTGTCGCGCCTCGACAGGTGAGAAATGAGAGATGAGATCAAGCGACTTGAAGGGAGGCAAAGCTCGCTTGAGCTCCAACGATCTGAGGCGAGCCGGGAAGGGAGGATCAGTTGGTGGACAAATAGTCGAGCGGCAAGATGACATCGACTCACCTCCAACGCTTGTTGCGCTTCGAGTCTAGCTCTAGCAGCGTCAAGCCAATCGCCAGCGAGAATCTTTGGCCATCCTTTGAGGCTGTTCACTTCCCTAGCCGCAGCGTCCAGGTCGCGCCTGTCGAGCCAGTACTGAGCCCGGGCAAGCGTGCTTGGCGTATCGTCTCCTTCGACGTATCCTTTGCGCGTAAAGAGCAGAGGTGCAAAGACGGCACTGGCGAGGTGAGAACCGATGCCGGCGTGGTCAGGTACCAATGCTGCTCTTTGACAGGCGGGTGCAAC